CTTCAACCTCTGAAGCCTGTTGGTCCAACTGTGTTGCAGTTTCCTGGAGAAGTCAGATCTTCTGTAAGATCTGTGTCTTCTGGAGATCATAGTGCTCAGACACGTACTTTCACTAAATTCTTGGTGGTCATAGCTGTATTTTAGCTGCAGCCATTCCTCAGCAAAGGAGTTTTCCACGCTTCATGTTACAGTGTAAAATGGAAGAGGGTTAACTTGCATTTTTAACAGTAATGATAGTAAATGAACCTGTCTTGCTTTGTTGTCGTTCATGTGCCATTTAACAGATCTCAGGACCTCCACCAGGTGAACAGGATTTCTACTCCAAAATGTAAGTAACTAGATTTAGGCTGGGTTTTTGTAAGGAAAAATTAGCCCATGATCTGTAAGGGAAAATGGTTGTTCTTGTTTAGCGTTAGTTTATGAAATGCGTAATCAAAGAGAACAGAATTGTCTAGGCTATGGGGAATGTCTCAGAAATTTCAGGATGTGCTGCCTACCTCTGAAGCACCTCGTCCCCTACCCCAGAATAACACACAAGCTGAAGGGGTTTTAATTTTATTTGTATAAATGATTTTGTATAAATTGCCATGAAAGCATGGCTCCATTGCTTTTGAGTGAGGACTATGTAGTGCCAGTTAAATAAAGTAATTTTAAAAGCTGAAGGGAAAAATAGTTCCGTGTCTTGAATTCTTAAATATTTGCTTTAAACGTGCAGAATGTTATTTTCCTGTTCTAACGGATAGCACCAGGATGGTGGTGTTTATGGGACTGTAGATGTAGAAACATCTTTGTAGAGAAGGAGAGGTGTTACTTTGTACTATCAAAAAAATCTGCTGCTTTTGCAAAGTTGGTGGTTTTTTTCTTCTGCTTTGTTAGTTTACTAAAAGGTACTGCTGGTCTGCAGAAACTTGTACTCTAGTTTATGAAGCTGTGGGTTTTAAATAGAAATTCAAATCAGGAATGACTTAGTACATAACATCCAAACCGCTTCTTACCCTAGAAATAATTCCCCCAACAGTCACGTGAAGGAAAGCATCTTCCCTGGCCTGGAAAGAGTTCAGCTTAGCTGCAAAATGGGCACCCGGGGGCCTGAGGGATAGTTCACAGCTGACAAATCCCGTAGCCCTGATGGTATGGTGCTAGTGCTGTAGTACTGATGTAATGTTTTCATTGTGAAACATACCAGTTCCATTTTTACCTCCTGTGCTGCTCTCTGTGGCCTAAACAAAACAGAGGCAGAACTTCAGAAAAGGCCAGGGCAGATTTCTGTCACTACAACAGGCGACGTTTCTAGTAAAAGGTGTTGGAGGTCTGCCACGTCTGCCTCTCTCTTATTAACATACCTGTCTGGAGCCTTGGATCTTTGTAGGTGTTGAGTGCAGTCACAGAAGCTGACTTTTTTTTTTTTTTTGCATGATGCAAAGTATTCATATGAAAAAAAACTATAAAAATTAAGGAGAAACACCCACCCAACCCTCTCCTGGTAATAAAAATTAGAATTCATACTTAGAGGTTTTTTTTTCTATTTATTGAAGAAAGCGGTTAGAGAAAAATCTTTAAATTTCTGGAAAAGATTTTACTACTGTCAGCATGTCCAGTGGGGAACACTGAATTTATTCATGTATGAGTAATCCATTCCTATACAGGTGACAGGTGAAATGATTAAACTTACTAATACTGCTGCAAGTAGAAAGTGATTTTACATTCCTAATTGCATAAGAGCCGGCATCAGAGCAAGCTCAGTAATGGAACTGTAAGAATAAAACAATATCCTATTTTAAAACTCTCCAAAAGACACAAAATGCTCTTCTGTTAAAGATCCCTGTGTGAAAGCGCTGCGGGACACAACGTTATGTTTGGGTGGAAGGTTTATATAATTATCTTAGAGAATGCATATTTTGTTACACTGGGGAAGAAACAAACACACTTTTTTTTTTCCCCCCCCCTCATCAAGAGGATTCAGAGCCAATTTTGTGTCTGTAACAAAGTTTTGCCTTTTAAAGTTATAAATAGAGCCCTGCGGACTCCCCGGGAAGTCGCTTTTGTAGTGGATGGGGCTTCCCGGCGGGCCTGCCCCAGCCGGCT